TGTGTGTCTGTCTGTTGTTCTGTCTGTGTGTCTGTCTTGTGTCTGTCTGTGTGTCTGTCTGTGTGTCTGTCTGTGTCGTCTGTGTGTCTGTCTGTGTGTCTGTCTGTGTGTCTGTCTGGGGTCGTCTGTGTGTCTGTGCTGTGTGTCTGTCTGTGTGTCTGTCTGTGTGTCTGTCTGTGTGTCTGTCTGTGTGTCTGTCTGTGTGTCGTCTTTTGTGTCTGTGTTGTGTGTCTGTGTGTGTGTGTCTGTGTGTGTGTGTCTGTGTGTGTGTCTGTGTGTGTCTGTGTGTGTGTGTCTGTGTTGTGTGTGGTTTTCTGTGTGTGTGTCTGTGTGTGTTTCTTGTGGTGTCTGTGTGTGTGTGTCTGTGTGTGTGTGTCTGTGTGTGTGTGTCTGTGTGTGTGTGTCTGTGTGTTGTGTGTCTGTGTGTGTGTGTCTGTGTGTGTCTGGTGTGTGTGTCTGTGTGTGTGTGTCTGTGTGTGTGTGTCTTTTGTGTGTTTTCTGTGTGTGTGTGTCTTTTGTGTGTTTTGTTCTGTGTGTGTGTGTCTGTGTGTGTGTGTCTGTGTGTGTGTTCTGTGTGTGTGTGTCTGTGTTTTGTATGGTCTGTGTGTGTGTGTGTGTGATGTGTTCTGTGTGTTGTCTGGTGTGTCTGTGTGTCGTGTGTGGTCTGTTGTGTGTGTGTCTGTGTGTGTGTCTGTGTGTGTGTCTTGTGTTGTGTTGTGTGTTGGTGTGTCTGTGTGTGTGTGTCCCGTGTTTTGTGTGTTCTGTGTGTGTGTGTGTCCTGTGTGTGTGTGTCGTGTGTGTGTGTCTGTGTGTGTGTGTCTGTGTGTGTGTGTCTGTGGTGTGTTGTGTGTGTGTCTGTGTGTGTGTGTCTGTGTGTGTGTGTGTGTTCTGTGTGTGTGTTCTGTGTGTGTGTGTGTCGTGTGTGTGTGTGTGTCTGTGTGTGTGTGTGTCTGTGGTGTGTGTGTCTGTGTGTGTGTGTGTCTGTGTGTGTGTGTGTCTGTGTGTGTGGGCTGTGTGTGTGGTGCTGTGTGTGTGTGTTCTGTGGTGTTGTGTCTGTGGGGTTGTGTCTGTGTGTGTGTGTCTGTGTGTGTGTGTGTCTGTTGGTGTGTTGTGGTCTGTGTGTGTGTGTGTCGTGTGTGTGTGTTCCCGTGTATGTGTGGTGTCTGTGTGTGTGTTTCTGTGATTATGTCTTGTGGTGTGTGAAGTTCCTTTTGTTTTTGTGTGTGGTCCTGATGTGGTGGATTCGAGGTTGTGGTTCTTTCTTCTTGTCTTGTCTCCACATTTTGTTTGTACCTCCTAACCTCTCTTCTACCTCCTAAATGTGTGTGTGTGTCTTGAGTCGACAGTTGCTGAGCAGAGCTGTGTGTAGTTTGACGTACATAGTGTTTGTGTGCGTGGGCTTGTCTGTGTTTTGTGTTTTTGTGTGTGTCTGTGGTGGTGTTGTGTGTGTGTGTGTTCTTTTGTGTGTTTTTGTGTCGTGGGGTTTTGTGTGGGGTTTGGGGGTGTGTTTGTGTGTTTTCTGTTTTTGGGGGGTGTCTGTGGTGTGTGTGTGGTCTTGTGTGTGTTGTTTTTGGTGTCTGTTGGTGTGTCGTTGTGTTGCCCTTTTGTGTGTGGTTGTGTGTTTGGGGTTTTGGTCGTCTGTCAGCATAGTGTAAAATACCTAGGTTAACTCGAAAAAAATCTGGACAGTGTAACAATTTGTTTGATATTCGGAATTATAATGTCCTTGTGCGTCTGTTGAAGGTTCCTTATATATTTTTGTAAGGGATAACCTATGAACCAAACCCATCGAAAATGGCTCGGATTCGAGGTGTCGGTTACCTTTCTTCTCTACGTCCCTTGCCACCTCCTACCACATTCTTTTCTCTACCCACCCTCCTAACCCTACCTCTCTTCTCAACCTCCTCCCAACACTCGGAAGATGAGTAAACGTGAGGACGACAGTCTTGTCTGAGACAGAGCTAGATGGATAGTTTGACAGACAAATAGACATGTTTGTGTAAAAGCGAAAGCAAAGCTTAGTCTTGTCACTGCACCCTCGCGAATGCTCATCAAATGTCAGCCCTTTTCAAATGTTCTCATCTTATCACGTCACTGTCAGGGGTGGACTTTGTTTTTCGTGCTTCAAGGGAACTTATTTTATTACTATGTATTCTCCTTTTCCTTATATACTTCCACATATCCAAAGCATTACTGGGACCTATAAATACTCTGTATATATTCCAAGACAAAAGTAAATGATCCAGGCAGGTGTAAATGTCCACCTGTCAGTGTTCAACAGAGTAAATTTCAGTACCTAATACTAGTGTCAGAACAAAGATTGGTTATAAAAGGACAAGAACTACTACAAATTGTAATTACAGAACATGTAAATTATATAAAATATGAAAAATAAAAAAAAGGGTAATATAGGCAAAACTAAGCAAGTGGCAGGACTCGATGTTGCCTGTCACGGAGCATCCAGTGCCAATTTCTCGGCCTCATAATCTCTAAGTACTGACCCTAAAAAATTTTACCTATTACCCTAAGAAAAATGTGCTTTAAATTTTTTTAATTAAAAAAATTCGGGGCACTGGGGAAGTGAACGTATGTATAAATTTTGGACCATTTACGGGTTAAAAAGGTTCGTAAATGAAAGTGGTTGTGGGCGAGTGTCGCCCGACTAGGTTGGTCAGTGCTTTAGTCAGTTAGGTAACTTGGACCTGTCTTTCCCTGGGCCAACAGGCCTGCTGCAGTGTTATGTTCTTAGGGTTTTTTGGCAGGGGGAAGTCTGAAGTAGTTCAGGACTTCAAATTGGATTGCCCCAAATTTATAAATTTTTTTGACCTAGTTGAATTGGTGAACTAATCATTGCTGTTACTAAATGAACTACTGTTGTTGCTTGGGATCAATGGGTTTAACTAAAATGTGTAGCTTTAAACATGACTAGACGTTGGCAAAAGCCCTTGATGCCAGTGAGGGGGCACAATCCAGTTAATTTCCCAAAATTTCATCCCTTAATTTTGAACCTTTATAACCTTCATTCCACCAATCTAAACATAATCTAGTAGCCTTCTCTGACTTTTGTAACTTCATAGGTCATGTGCCCTAAGTATATCCCTGGAAAGTGGAAGAAAGCTTGGTGCCCCCCCCCCCCTCCCCCCCCCTTTTTTGAAAGTTATTCTAGTCCTTTGAAGGGGGGGTCCTATTACTAGGCCATGAGCTCTCTGCTTGCCTCCGAGAAACTAGTGGTAAATTTGGCCCAGACATGAGAAATGGGTGTAGTAAGTGCACACCATATAAATCTTAATTTCACTATAATTTAGGGGGGGACAACCCAGGTTTTGGTTTATACCTGCCCCTTTGTGTTTTCATAGCTCTTGAATATTGTATTTCTCCAGTTTCTTGATCTTGTTTGATAGAATAGAAGCCTTTCTGGACTGAAAGTAGCTTAAAATTCTGTTTAAAGTAGCAGAAATTTCATTTTGGTGATTGAGTAAACAAATGTCACGCATTCAATACTTGTCCAACTGGTCTGTGTATTTAACCCTTTCAGGGTCCAAGGCCCAAATCTGGAGTCACGCACCAGTGTCCAAGAATTTTCAAAAAAAAAAATATTATTTTTTCTTATGAAATCGTAGAGAATCTTTTTGTGAAGGTAATAAAACAAAAAGTACGAAATTTGGTGGAAAATTGATGAAATTATGCTCTCGCGAATTTTGATGTGTCAGCGATATTTACGAATCGGCGATTTTGCCGACTTTGACTCCCATTTTAGGCCAATTATATTATTCCAATCAACCAAATTCTTAGCTATTTCACTAGTATTGCTTCTATTCTATCGATTGAGCACAAGAAATCGCCAAATCAACTGTTTCAACTACAAAATAGTGATCGGAAATTGTTTAATTTGGCCAATTTAACACAAAGTTCAAAATATTCCAATTTCAAAATAGGGTCCAGAATAAACAATGTAGGCATTCCTGGCACTAAACTAACATTTCCTCTGTTCATTAGTTATGTTTTGAGGCTTTACAAATAAATTCCATTTGATTTTTTATTCACATAATGAATTTTTATTCACACCAAAAAATAGAAGATTTACTGTTATGCAATACTGTAATAATTGTATAAATATCATCACCATATTTGTGAATGTATTAGACCCACCAGCTGACGTGTATTAGACGTGTGAGGTCGTTTGTTTACTCTTGAATATCGGCAAAAATTTAACATTTCCGCTACTTTGAGCTCAGTTTCAAGCCATTTCCTGTGCTAAAACCAATCAAAATCATCTCTATTTCTGTAACATGTCTTCCATTCTATCAGAGACCAAGAAATCGCAAATACAACTATAAAAAACATACGAAAAAATACTGCAAAGTTGCTGTTTTAATCGAAAAATCATGATTTCAGTTTTTTCTCTCATTATACAGTGTGCTGCAGGATCTGTTTTATGTGGTGCACACATACCACATAGATGTATTCTCTCATATCTAGACCCAAATGTACCACTCACAGTTTATCAGTGAGCTGAGCTCATGGCGTAGATCTACGGTTTGGACACTCACCGACCAGCCGTAGATCTACGGGACGGACCCTGAAAGGGTTAAAGAATTTAATGGTATTGAAAGATTCTTTAACTTAGTGTGATAGCTTTTTATGCATAGTTTGTTTTATTTTTAATGTGTTAATATTTTTGAAAATTGCTGAATTGCCCAAACATTCAGGCTGAAACCATAATTATTGGCAAGTGTATTTAAAAGGAAAGTTGGATTAGCAAGGCAGTTTGAGGATTGAACCTGGGGAAACAATCTACTGGAGTTAAATTTAACCTGGTGACACATTGCCCAAATGAAGTTTGTATGAAGTGGTTTTAGCAGCACACTGTAACCTGAAAGTGCATTGTCATACTTTCCCATAAATCTTTCATGGTAGGCCTTAATTTGAAATTGTATGCAGGAACATAATTTAGCAAATTGTAGGATATTTAGATTGATGTACTGAAATTTTTTTTTCAGTTCTGGGAAATCATCAGTGATGAACATGGCATTCAACCAACGGGAGAATATACTGCTGGTGTGGAGAAAGAGCTGATGGATCTTCAGTTAGAGCGCATTAACGTATACTACAATGAGGGCAATCAGGGAAAGTATGTTCCACGTGCTGTCTTGGTGGATCTGGAGCCTGGCACCATGGACAGTGTTCGGGCAGGACCTCATGGTCAGCTTTTTAAGCCAGACAGTTTTGTATTTGGTAAGAAAGTTTGATTGCATTACTTAGTTCCAGTTTTAAGAGGTTCTTAAATGACCAAATGGAGTTGGACTTTTAATGTTTATATCCATAGTAAAAAATTTTGCATTGAAGTCTTTGATTTCTTAGATTTGTGCTGATATGCATATAGATCTAAGAATAAATTTCAAATGGAATGGTCAAATTTGTAGCCATAACTTTATGTTATAAAAAAAAAAGCTGTTAATGTCTCATTGCTCACAGCAGTAATATAGGAAAATTGGTTACAACAGCTGCAAATAGGTAAGTCAGGAGTTGGTACCTGAGAGTAAGTTTTAGGTTAAAAGTGTTAAATTGCAATTAGTTTGTAAATTGTGCAAATAGGCCTTTGTAAAGCTTGTATAAATTTATAGCTTATTAGACCATATTTTAACATGGAGCTCTAAATTTTTGAAATAGTAACTTAAATTACCTTGCATGTTGAGGCTTGCCCATTGTTGGCTATCTTCAAGCATAATTAAAATACCACTTAAAAAATATTTGCAAGGCCCATGTTCTTGACTTGCCTAATTAGCTTTTCCAGTTGTAACTAAATTTTGCAAAACTTATTGGTAAATAAAATTTGTTAAATTTAAATCCTAATAACACGAGGCTTAAGTTGATTGCTGGTGAAGAGGTACCAAGGGGTTGTGTAAAAACCTTATGGAATCAGACTATTTTGAAATTATTGAAGAGCACAAATATCCTTGATGCTATAAAAAGCTTTTAATCTAAGCCTTGTAACTGCACTACTCTAAATGGTGATAGCATCCTTTCCCCCCTCCCCCTCACAAGTGTAGTACTTTGCTGGACATAAAGGTTTAAACTTCCTTTAATGCTGTTGCATTGGTAGTAAGGTGATCATACTTAACCCTGCGAGTGTTGAGAACCCTGCTCGCAAACTTGCTCCCAGGTCAAAATTTAAAAAAAAAAAAAAAAAAAAAAAAAAAAAAAAAAATCCCAAGGTAATGAAACCAAAAGCATGAAATTTCTAAAAACTTAGAATTACTCACAAAGTTAGCAGTCTCAGCAATAGTTACACATCAGTGCTTTTGCCTGCTTGAGCCCTATTTTTGGGCCAGTTATTGTTCCAGTTGACCAAACTTGTAGCTGTTTACTTAGAACTTTTTTTTATTCAGAGTACAAGAAACTGCCATTTACACATTTCAAACTACCCAAAATTACTCCATTGACTGTTTCGGTCATGTCTTACAGCCACTGTGTTTGACGTATATACATGTATACTCGTAAATTCTAGTGGCATTCAAATCAAGCAGGAGAAAGCTGGTAGGCCAACATGAGAGAATGGGTCTGTGGCGAGTGTGCACCATATAAAAAATCCTGCAGCACGCAGTGCATAATAAGAAAAATTCACTTTTAATTAAAATGCTGACTTTGTGGTCTATTTTCATATAGTATTTATGGTTGTTTTCTAGTTTCCTTGGTCTCTTTTGATAGAATGAAAAACGTATAGAAATAGAGGCGATTTTGATTAGTTTTACTATGAAAACCTTGAAATGGAGCTAAAAGTAGGGGAAATGTTTGATTTTTGCCGATGTTCGAAAGTAAACACGTAATTTTCCAATAAATGTTATTTTAGAGCCAGGAATGTCTGCATTGTTCATTCTGGACCCTATTTTGAAATTGCAATTTAATTTTCGTGAAATTGGGCCAAATTGCAAATTTCTGACCACGTTTTTGGGTAGTTGAAATCGGTAAATGGGCAGTCTTGTTCTCGATTGATAGAAAAAATAGTTCTAAAATACCAATTTGGTCGACTGAACAATGGAATTAGCTGAAAATAGGCTCAAAGTGGGCAAATCACCGATTCATAATATCACTGAGGTCACTAACTTCGCGAGAGCTTAATTCCATCAGTTTTCCATGAAATTTCGTTCTTTTGTGTTATTACAATTGGGAAAACATCATTTCATAACATTTGTTTTTTTAATTTTGCGACACCAGGAGACCTCAGGATTTGGGGTTGTGACAGTCAGTGGGTTAATCACACTACTAATTTGACAAATTTGCACAAAATTAGAGGCCAATTTCAGCATAGGGCCCAGGATAACGTAGATGTTCCTGCATTAAAATATCATTGTTCATTAGTCACGTCTCCAGGCCCCTTGTATTTCCTTTGCACTTTGAATTTCTATTCATGCAAAAAAAAAAAAATTTACTGTTATTCAGACCACTGCATAAATGGTAATAATTTGTATGTCGGTGCATTCACGAGTGCATGTTAGACCAGCTAGTTGACATGTATTGGCACACTCTTGTTTACTCTTGAACATCGGCAAAAATCTTTTATTTCTGCTACTTTTAACTCGATTTCAAGCTACTTTCTGTAAACCATTTCAAAAATCTAAATCTTCCATTTATCAAAATGACACTAACTGAAAATACAACCATTAAAACCATATAAAAATGCATCGGTCTGTTTTATGCCACTTTGCTGCTGAGCACTGACTACCCAGACCCATCCTCTCGTATGTAGGACTACCAGCTTTCTCCCACAAGATGGGAAGCTGCTAGAATGTGTAATATTACGGGACCACCTGTGGATTCAAAGCCGTATTACAGGACCGACCCTGAAAGGGTTAATCGTAAGTTAATTTGGCATTGTGGAGTATAGTTGTAGGTTAAGTAATCTTTACATTACCACACTGTAAAGTGTACAAGATTTTGTACTGGTATTGGGCTGATCTTTTTTTTATATGTACATACACGAAAATTACAGTTTTTGTAATTTTTAAGTTTTTCTTAAACTGAAGTCTGGTTAAACTAAGGTTGTGAACTTAGTACAATAGGTATTAGTGTATCTTTAATTCTGTACAGATTTGACTAAAGACAGTCTTAAAATTAAGACTAGCCTAACTTTTTTTATTATTCTGAAGACTTCCAAACTTTTGTATTAAATGAAGTACTGTTTACTTAATGCATTTATTTTTTTAGGTCAGAGTGGTGCTGGAAATAACTGGGCAAAGGGTCACTACACAGAAGGAGCAGAACTAGTAGACTCTGTATTGGATGTTGTCAGAAAGGAATCTGAAAAGTGTGACTGTTTGCAAGGATTTCAGTTAACTCATTCCTTGGGTGGTGGTACTGGTTCAGGAATGGGTACCCTCCTTGTATCAAAAATCCGTGAAGAATTCCCAGACAGGATCATGGTTACTTTCTCTGTTGTGCCCTCTCCAAAGGTGAGAATTTTCATATTTAATTTTAGTAACTATTAGTTTAATTAAATACTTAGTGAATTAGATTCTTGCTTTATTGGTCTTAGCCTTTATAGGCTTAGTAAAATTTCTAAAGGTGTACTACATTACTTTTTGCCCCCCCCCCCCCCCCCAAAAAAAAAATAGTTTGCATGTTTGCCTTAAAAAAAATTTTTCTCCCCAGGTATCTGATACAGTAGTGGAACCTTACAATGCTACCCTCTCAATTCATCAGCTAGTTGAAAACACAGATGAAACTTACTGTATTGACAATGAGGCATTGTATGACATTTGCTTCAGAACGCTCAAACTGCAAAACCCAACTTACGGAGATCTGAATCACTTAGTTTCCCTCACAATGTCTGGCGTGACTACGTGTTTAAGGTTCCCTGGTCAGCTAAATGCTGATCTCCGGAAGCTTGCTGTTAACATGGTGCCCTTCCCTAGACTTCACTTCTTCATGCCTGGATTTGCTCCTCTTACCGCCCGTGGATCACAACAGTATCGTGCTCTCACAGTTCCAGAACTCACTCAGCAGATGTTTGATGCAAAGAACATGATGGCTGCATGTGATCCTCGTCATGGACGTTACCTTACTGTTGCTGCTATCTTCCGTGGCAGAATGTCAATGCGGGAAGTTGATGATCAGATGTACAACATCCAGAACAAGAATTCCTCATTCTTTGTAGAATGGATTCCCAATAATGTTAAGACAGCAGTGTGTGACATTCCACCTCGAGGCTTAAAAATGTCTTCTACATTCATTGGAAATTCTACTGCTATCCAGGAATTGTTCAAGCGTGTTAGTGAACAGTTCACAGCTATGTTCAGGCGCAAGGCTTTCCTCCATTGGTACACTGGAGAAGGTATGGATGAAATGGAGTTCACAGAAGCTGAATCCAACATGAATGATCTGGTTTCAGAATACCAGCAGTACCAGGAAGCTACTGCTGATGATGAAGCAGAATTTGAGGAAGAGGGTGAAGTTGAAGGAGAGTACGATTAACTTTTTTTGATCTTTCCAATGCTATTGGTAGAATTATTCTTCTGCCAACTTCAGTATTTTCATAGTGTAATCAAAGGATACCAATGAAACTGCATTTCATTCTTCAGTTAACTACCATGTAGTTTTTTCCATACAACATTCCTGTTTTGTTCTATTTTTGTTTACAGCTTGTATTAAAGTTTTTAATTACAAAACTTTTTTCCTTAACCTGGTTGCTTAGGTAAACCCACCCACCCTGATGCTAACTTCAATTGGTTTCACAAACTTCATCCCAGGTAGGGATGAAAGTATTAAGTTCTGAAGTTCCTTCAGTGTTATAACTAGCATGGCATTATTTGTTCCATAAAGTAATTCAATGGCTTGAATAAGGTAACTTGTGATAAACTTAAGTTTATAACAAAACTTTCAATTCTTAGTGGCTTAGCACTTTTTTGATTATAATAATTACAATTCTTAATGTACATGGCCCCTCAGGGAAGGTTCCTTGATGTTGGTGAGGGGCTCTTTAGGAAATTGGATCTGTGCTCCAGTTCCCTGAATTAAGCCTGAATGCCTTCCACATCATCCCCCCCCCTCCCCCAGGCACTATAATACTATGGGTTTAGTGCTTCCCCCTTGATTATTATAATGTACATGGGCAATTTCCTAATTGACTTAACACTTGTGACCCATGCTAGTAGGTAGTTCATTTGTATACCTGTCAAACCTCTTGTCAAAATAAGTTTTCATTTCGATGACTTAGTGGAGAAAACTCTAAATTGCCCAACCAGTGCTTTCCTATACTTATCAAGTAAATTTTTAACTAGCCCACGTGTACTCCAGGTAGTCCCAACTTAATATAACCTTTAATAATGTCCTCAGCCTGCATACCTTGACTACAATTGTATCATTAATTCTGACTTAGAGTACAAAGTGTCTTGGAGGGGAGAACAAACTGATTTCTAGCACATGGTGGCCAGTCAGTAATATGAAGGTCAATCTCTGCAGCATATTTGAAGAAAGCCTTATCAAAGATGTATGAAGGACAATCTCAGGAATTCAATTCAACAAATTGCTGCAAATCTTGTCCCTCTTCAAGGGGGGCTCCTTGGCGTGGTGAAGAGGCTCTTGGTCTGAGGAATTAACCCTGTCGGTCTTCCTCAGACCGAACCTAATTAACCCCCCAAACTCCCCTCCCCTATCCCATCCTCCCCTTTTTCCTTTCCTCCTCCCCACCCTTCCCTTTTGCCATTCCTCTTTTTGGCCTTTGGGATTTCTCCCACAGGCACGCTAGTTCCTAGGTAGGGGAAAGGATACTGGGGTCCATCCCATTCTGTTGAGGTTCTTGGCGGTGGTGTAGTTTGCCGTGGAATCTGGATCGCCTGGGGATGTCCCGATCCCTCTCCTGTATCCCGGAGTAGCTTTGGGTGTCTTTCGGGCAACGGGTGCATCTCTGGAAGCCACCTTTCGGATTCCAGGGGTGGTGGCCGAAGGAGGTATGCTTTGTGGCGGATATCCGGCCGCCCTCTCTTTTGTCCGACCGAGGTAGCTCGGCAGATGTGAGGTTGCTATCCCGGATTGCTGGTTTACTGGCAAGAAGGGTAGGGTATGGCACGGGTTCCATGCTGCATCTGCGCTACTAGCGGTGCTGAGGTCCTCTTGGGCGCGGAGGGAGATTTCCGGCCCTCTCATTCCTCCTGGGAACTATTCCTCCCTGCTCCCCCCTTTTTTTATTCCTTTTTTTTTTCTTAAAAACAAAAAGCAAAGGAGTAACCTAACCATGGAGAACCCAATCCATGAACCCACTACCCCCGGGGCCTTCTTGATACTGCACCCATTCTGACCCTGCCTTGTTTTTAGACCACTCTTCGGACACTCCTGATGCCCCTGTACCTCTTGCTGGTGCCGTTTCCTCACCCGCTTCAGGTACCGGGGCTTCGACTGACTCCTTCGATTTGTCTGAACTCCGCTCTCCTTTGACTATGCTTCCGGCTTCTCCCTCTAGGGTACGGCAATTTTCGAATCGCCCGCCCATTTCACGCCGGACCAACTCCGGTCCTACTCCTAAACGCCAACGTCAGTCTCCAGATGCTCCTTCGTTACCTTCCCATTCTACTCGGAAAAGACAACACGTCATGCACTCCCTCTCCACGCTCGGTTTCGGACCACACAATGGACTAAATTCTTTACTTTAAGACCGACTTCTGCCTACCTTTCTGACCATAGTATTGGCAAAGCGCTCCTGCGTCATGTTAGAGATTTCATTTCATGCTCTCAGAGCAGTATGTGCATAGTCACTGTCCAGAATGCTACCCAAGCTCATGATCTTTCTCTCCTTTCGAATATCGATACTACTCCTATCACTATTGGAAAAACTTCTCTCAATTCTTGTAGTGGTACTGTCATTCTGCCCCATACCATAGTCCAACAGAATTTCCAGTCATGTGGCAATGACATTCTTGAACAGCTGGAACTCCAGGATCTCCCAATCATCAAAGTAGGCACTTAGTGTCCTTCCTGCCCGTGGGCGGAGACGTTACCCTTGCAATGTGGCTCGTTTAACTTTTGACAGCCGAGAACTCCCGTCTGTATGTCGCGGGTCATCGGTTACAAGTTCGAAAGGTGATCCCTACACCGCAACAGTGTAGAACTTGCTGGCGTTTTGGTCACCCAGCAAAATATTGCAGATCTATGGCCGAATGCCCAGTCTGGTGCCGACGACCATTCTAATACATCTTGCAGTCAACCTCCATCTTGCCTTAATTGTAATGAGGCTCATCCTTCGTACTCTCGCCGTTGCCAGGTCTACTTGAATGAGCGTGAAATCCGTTGCCTCAAGAAGCAGGTCTCCCTTGTGCTATGGCAGTTACTCATCTCCACCTCCAAGGGAGACTGCCCCGTGTTTCTTATTCTCGTGTTTCAAAACGTCCCCCCCACTTTTGGAGTCCCATCTTCTGCAGCCTCCTCTGTTGTTACCCCTCCCATAGCCACTCTGGCATCTAATCCTTTTGCTGTCCTTGGCTCTGATGTCCCGACTACAACTCTGTCTGTTCTCACATCTTCACGTCCTTCCTCACAAGCCCGGGTATCGACGACCCCGTACGACACCTACCAATCGCCCCTCTACTTCTCAGAAGTCCAAAAAAAAACCCAGTGCTCAAATCTTCGTTGCCCCTTCCTTCCCTTCTTCCACCTCTGCACTTTACCTTTCCAGGCTCTGTACCTAGTTCTTCCCCTCTATCTGGCTCTATTACAAGTGTGGAGGTTCACCCTCCTCCTCGTACTATGCCTTCCACCCCCGTCCCCTCCCAAGTTTCTCCCTCTTCTGCCACCTCCCAGGTTTCTGCCTCTTCTGTCCCCTCCCACACTACTTCTCCAGTCCCCTACACTCTTTCGTCCCCCCCTTACTTTGGTACAGTGCATTACTGTCCCAATCTTTACTCACTCTCCTCCTCCTACCTCCAATATTGTCTCCCATACATCTTTGAATTCAGAAACACTTGAAGCCATTTCAGAATATATTGCAGAGACTAAACCTTCAATGGACACTGATCCACCTCCTGTTCCTTCTCTTCCCTCTCCTCCATCTCCACAACTCCACTCTTCGCAACGCTCCGTTCCTTCGCTACTTGAACGCCTTCCAATGCCACCACACGTTGACTTTTCTAACCCCTCTAGTTCGTAGGTGCCTTTCCCTACGGATTCCTGGTATTTTCTTCATTGCCAATCATGGCCTATTTACAGTGGAATATCCGCGGCCTCAGGGGTAATCGGGGTGAGCTTCAGCCGTTGCTTTCCAGGCTTTCCCCTGTTGGTGCTTGCTTACAAGAACCAAAATTACACTCGGCTGTTTTCCAACCTCTCTCAGGCTATAATTTATTGTATTCTTTGGATCCTTTCTCAGATGGGACCTTCAATGAAAGTGCTCATCTACGCAATGATATTCCATACTGTCAACTATTTGTCTATACCTTGCTGCATTACACTGCAGCCCGTATCCACTTGAATAAGTGGTATACAATATGTTCCTTATATCTCTCTCCTCGAGCATTTTCTATCCCAGATTTTGCTTTTCTAGTTTCATCCTTGCCACCACTTCTGTTACTTGGTGATTTCAACACCCACCATTTCCTCTGGGGGGGGGGGGTCTCATTGTGACTCGCGTGGCATCCAGTTGGAGGATTTTCTCTCCTCTCGCCCCCTCCGTGTTTTAAATACGGGTACTCCCACCCATTTTGATACTCTTACTCTCTTGCATCGATCTATCGGTCTGCTCTTCCTCCACTGCACTAGACTTCACCTGGTCTGTTCTACCAGACTTACATGACAGCGATCATTTTCCTATCATTCTTACTTCACCTTCCTATTCACCACCTTTCCGTAGCCCTCGCTGGCAATTTGATCGGGCAATTTGATTGGGACCTTTACTCGAAACTCGCTGCTTTTAGTGAGGTTCCTTCTTCATCCTCCATTGATGAACTCTTACACCTCTTCTCGACATCAGTTTATGCCGCAGCTTCTCATTCTATACTCCAAACCTCAGGCAGGCGTTCTCAGAAGTGCATGCCTTGGTGGTCTGCTTGTGCTCGTGCAGTATGTTTGAAATGCGTTGCATGGGGCAGGTACCAGTACAGTAGAACCGATGAGACTTTTTATTTTAAGCAGAAGCGTGCGATCGCTGTGTCATCTGTGACGCTAAACACACTTGCTGGCGAGCCTGTTTCCACCATCACCTCTGCTTCCTCTGAGTGCAGTCTGGAAAAAAGTGAGGAAATTGAGTGGTAAATACTCTCCTGACCCGGCTCCTGTTCTACGGGTCGCTGGTGTTGATGTAGCAAACCCTCTTGATTTTGCCTTTGAAATTGGCACTCGTCTGGTCCGTATTTCCCAGGGGCTCCATCTATGCCCCTCGTTTCTTTCCTCAAAGTCTGCCAGAGAGTTAGTACCCTTGGACTTTTCTTCTCTCAGAGAAGAACAGTATAATGTACCTTTTACACTTCAGGAACTGAAGGCAACGCTCTCAGCTTGCCGATCATCTGCAGCTGGGCCTGACGACATTCATATTCGTATGTTACAACATTTACATCAGTCAGCCCTTGTAGTCCTCTTACACCTCTTCAATCTTATTTGGGCACAAGGAGTTCTTCCCCAGTTGTGGAAATCTGCCATTGTTCTCCCTTTCCGTAAGCTGGGTACTGCAGGACATGATGCCTCC